CTCATAGGTCAAACTTCTGTTAGAACCATATTTTAATGAAGCATATAAGTTCCATCCATAACATGTGCAATTCAATCAAGCACTTCTAAGACAAGGTTTTGAAAATAGGACAAATTTCTATAACTTGGGTCTGCTCGAGTTTGAGAAGTTTTCTCAATATTGCATTGTTTACCGATGAGGCAACTTTCCATAATAATGGTCGTATGAACCGGCATAATTTACATTTCTACGCCGATGAAAATCAAAATATTCCTAGAGCAGCTGCCGACAAGACAGGGTGGAGTGTAAATGTCAGGGGAGGTATAATTGGGTACTGCATAATAGGACCCCATTTTTTTGTGGAAACCTCAATGGAGATATTTTTCAAAGATTTTTGAACGATGATCTTGATAATCTTCTAGAAGATCTACCATTAAGACTGTTAAGAAGATGTTATTTAAATTAAACGGAGCGCCTGCTTATTTCAGTATTAAAATTCGACATACTTTGGATGACAAGTTATCAGGGCGCTGGAATGGAAGACATCACTCCGTACCTATATGGAGTCAAAAAATTGTCCTCACATTTTGGAAGTAAGTTCGTTTTATGCCAGTTGCTATGTAACAAAAACATGCAATGCTGGGCATCCCCTATACTTCCGCGTAGTTGAGTTAGTACATAGTAGGGATCGCTTGAGCCGTGATAACTAAATTTATAAATGTCGTTTTTGGAACATTGGACGGATCACTAAGATGACGAACACGGCAGAGAAAATGGATATTATTGCATGAGAAATTCAGAAATTGAACATCGATTTAGTAGCACTGACCGAAACCGAGAAAAAAGAATGGAACCGAAAATGTTGAAGAATACATTCACCTTTTTACTGGAGTCAGGAAATGAGAGCAGCTAGAGGGGCATCCATACTGATAAGGAAAAGCTGGAAAAACAAAACTACCAACTGGGAAGGTGTAGATGAATATCCTGCGGTCAACTTGAAACTACACATAACATCACCAATATCGCAGCCTACGCTCCATCACAGGACAAAAGAGTCGGCATTCGGCAGGAGTTCTTTAACAAATTGGATGAAATCCTAAAAGATGTAGTATAACATACCCGGGTTCGCTCAGTAAGATTGAATGATGAGAATTTTTATCACCTTTTAAACAACAAATATACTGAAAAACGAAATGAAAAATAAATAGGACCTACGTTGTGGAAACTTACTCAATTTTACTTACTGAACATGCGCCCTACATAGCAAATATTTGGGAAATTTAAGGGAAGTTGTGATATGTAAAAGAAACGAAAAATTTGTGAAACGTCTCCTTTATTATCAAAGAAAAACGTACCGTTCTCGACCTGGAACTAACGAGGGGAAAGAGCACGGCAGAGAAACCCTAGGTCTAACATTCCTCAAAAATCGAAACATACTGTGTCATTTTAATAATAATAATTGTGAGTCATTAATTCAATAATTTAAGTCAATAAAAGTTTAAATTAGGTACCGCCCCTTTGTTCTTGTGCTAAAATTTTAATTACACACACTACATTCAATCAACACTACCTATATTCAATACTGAAGGGTTTTGGTTAGTTAGCCCATCTGTGGCAGGTACCGAGGTCCCTGATTACCTAAACTCACGGCTATAGTTGTTTTTGAGCCAATATCTCTTTCCTTCGTTCGGTAGGATATTCGCTCGTCAGGATAGGAAAATGTTAGTAAATTCAACAAGGCCCTAATGCACGCTCTGAATACACAATATCAAAATCTCAGCACAAAAAGACAGCACATAATTTCTTAGGTTTTAATTTAATTCTTTATCTGTGTTGTTTACAGCATGAAACGATTTTGGTCAAATACATAAACAATGCACATGTTATAAAAAATGTTATAAACAAACAAAAAAATACATAAAAATGAACAAAATAATAGGAACTTGCATAAATTGAACTCTCAAAAACAAAATAACATTTAATCCACTAACCTGTGAACTCTCCTTACTCACACAATATGTAATAACAAATTGGATTGAACAATCAATTTTAATGCAAAATAGAAATGAAAATTGAATAATGAATAATTACAGACACGCGACACGTTTTCTAAGGGACCAGTCTAGCGCGTTCTGTAGTCTAGTTGCGTATTCTCTATCTACCCTTCGCTTCGGTACTTTCGTTTTTCTGTGGCGCGCTCCGTTCAAACCTAAACTTGATGGCGCAGACATGGTTGCAACATTTAGTTTTATTCAGTAACCGATTTTTAAAAGTTAAGATTTGAAGAAATATCATTTTAAATAGGTGGTTTTCCTCAAAGATATTGGAAGAAATAGAAAAAACATAATGATGAGGGATTTCAATGGACGAACGGAAAAAATGAACAATAGCCCAGTTGTACGATGATTTGCAGAATAAATAACCAATGATAATGGCTGAAGGCCCACAATCTTAGAATAAACAATTCTTCAAACTAAAAGATGTTCACCGCTACAAATGGATACAGGATACCCGTAACCTAAAAAATATTATTGTCTATGTTATAAGTAAACAAGAAACAAACAAAGAGATAAACAACGTAAGAGTCCTAAGAGGAATCAATTGCGGGTCAGATCATTTTTTGGTAAGAGCCAAAATAAAGATGCAATTTAGGAAAATTAACAAGAACTCGGAGGAACAAAACAGCAATGCCATACTCACGAATGCAGTGGATAGAACAGAATACAATTTTCAATTCTGACAGTTTTGTAGATGAAATCACTATATTTCTATATCAGAGGCGAGTCGAAAGCAAACTATTGAGCCTTGAAGAATGTGCTTTTAGTAAACTATATGAGAACATTATAAAGAATCTAATAAAACTTAGAAGCCACCCAAGAATCAATGGGAACAAACAAAAACATTACCAGCAAGAAATACTAGTGGACCGAGGATAGAGCTATTAGTCCAAGAAAGAACCAAAATATCTGAACATATAAAATTAACCAGACCTTGAAGCTTATAAAGACACAAAAGACAACTAAGAACGTACATGCATCACTATGGTTAAGAACGAGTCATGGGATAAGAAATGTGAAGAAATTAACACCTACATAGGAGGAAGGAAATGCTCAGACGTATGGAGATTTATATTAAATGTCAAAAACCTCATCAGGAAAGGATAGAGCTAATATCCAGGTAATCAAACCAGAGCAATGGATACAACACAGAACACTACAAGGCTCTATTACAAGAAACTACACCGGAATATATATTAGATTCCCCAAGACTTTTAAAGTAGGTACATGGAGAAGAAGTTGAGATATATAAAAGAAACAGTCAAAAAGTATTTTAAGAATCTTGAGTCAGGAAAAGCTAACGGCCCAGTATCAATCACGCCGATATCACGGCCATTAAAGAAGTATTTAAAGACACATAAATCAAAAATTAGGATAGGTAAAAAACTCACAGACACAGACACATTAGTGAATGAAGGAGTACCTCGATAATGTTGTATCTCTCCTACGCTTTTCAAAATATAGGTACGCATGCAAAATCAGTAGCACTAAAAAATTGGAGCGAATATTAGGTGAGGGTTGACATATGAAAGAAATTCGTAATCTTATTAGTATAGAACCCATAGACCGACGCGCACTTAGTTGTTAACCCTGTATAAGACAGGAGACAGAAACAAATGCGAAAACCACAGAGGCATTGTAGTGACGAATACGCTAAGCAGGGTACCTAAGTATATGGAAAAGTTATAAAAACTAAAATAGAAAACGAGTACAAAGATATTGAGATAGAAGAACACGCCTGTTCTAGGGCAGGAAAATCAACGCAGCAGACCACTTACTGAGGTTGATTCAGGTAATAGAAAAGTAACTAGCGCATGCCAAAAAGCACGAATTTCAATCGAATTTTTACAGAGGAAGAAACAGCTATTTAAACAAAAAGTGGTTGCTTTCTATGAAAAACCTAATGAAAATTTGAAACCAGATCGCAGTTGAGGATGTCATAATTCTACCGACTACAGACGAAAAATTCAAGAATTTCTTGATTCATCAAGTTACTGAAAGCTGAAAAGATCATACTCAAGCCAGACCACGGAACGCCATCATGGTGAGTCATCCATCTTATCAGATGCGGTTTAGCTGTACCATCACGGCTCTGTGTCAAAATCCACAAAGTTTATGTGCCGCTAAGACCGAGAGTGAATGCACGCGGGTCACCTAAATAGATTTGAACCTGAAGAAGGAGAGACTTGACTAACTATGTCAGGAAGATTCATGACATAATTCTCCAGCCTGAAGATATTTTGGTCAATTTTGACGTCATCTCAACAAAATCCTGCTGACGGAATCACTGGATTTGATCAAAAACTTTTCAGATCACATGGTCAGGAACCACTCCAATAAACATCGGAAGAACGGTGATCGCGCATGAGTTACCAGGCCCCTCTCTGCCCTCACATTTATACAATCTGAGATAGGATGGATTTTTTCAAAATTCAGTTGTGAAAATTTCCTTTCATACGATATCAAAAAACCGAGTGCGCTGGAGTGCAGACGGGGAAAATACGTATATTATTATGGTCCTCAATTATTCTTATCACTACTTAAGTGAAAAATATTGATTTCACTTCTCACTTTATCTATTGGAACTTTGCACAAATTTTATTTACCACTACACACACACAAAAATCACTACAATACTATAACTTAGTTATAGCGTCACGACGTAAGAGAGTTCTGATAGTTATAATAACTATACCTAACTATCAGAACTTTCTTACGTCGTGATGCTGAAACTCCGTTTCTCTGTTCATCGAAAGTACCTATATCTAAAATAATTATAATTCATTTTTATTGTCTTTAATAAATGTTCAAATTTGGTTTGAAAAAAAAATACATTCCAATAAATCGATTCACAGAAGAAATCGCGTCGTATCCAATTTTCAAACTACAGTTTTTTTGATCTTTCAAAAATGAAGTTTGAATGATTTTCCATAATATACCTACCTATAATAATTATGTTTTCAGATTGCAGATATTTTCTTTAGACCTGTGGATATACCCTTATTCCCATCAAAATTACCTCCAAGTTTAGATGTTTCTTGCCTACGTAAAGTGTTTATAAGCGGTAATGCTTTACATGAGGATTTAGTAGACAGTTTAAAGCAACTTTTGCCTGAAGTTGAGCTTGTGTCCATGTATGCTATGACAGAATGCGGCGTAGTTACTTATTCTTATGTGGAAAAATTTAAAGTTGAAAAACCAACTTGTTGTGGACTTCCAGTCAGTGGACTACATTATAAAGTATGCATGATATGGAAATATTTATATTAGCTTGCTTGAAATCATTTTTTTTTTAGATTATCGATTTAGAAACAGGCAAAATTTGTGGCTTTAAACAACCAGGCGAATTACATGTGAAAGGCAAACGAGTCTTCAACGGTTTTCACAATTTAGATAGTTCCGAGTGTTTTGACGATGAAGGCTATTTTAAAACTGGCGATGTGGTTTATTTTGACGAAGATTTTTGCTTCTTCTTTGTTGATCGCATCAAAGCTCTTTTAAAGTAAGCATATTCTCTTATTTAGATTCAAGTGTGTTTTTGATGAATTTTAGATGGAAAAATAAACTAATTTATCCCAGTTGCATTGAAGAAGTATTGCGTAGCCATCCTGCAGTAAATGATGCAATGGTTATTGGTATTGAAGATAAAGTTGAAGCTGAAAGATTGATGGGGGTGGTCATATTAAAAAACGATGTTGAAGATCTTAGCGAAGTGGATTTGGTTAAATATGTTGAAGAAAGAGTAGAAGACTATAAAAGGTGTGTCCATTTTTGGCTTCTAGGTTATTTTTCTCAGATATGATTCGAGAAACAATCAATGACAAATGTCGGGGTTACAATCTGTATAAACCATTTTATTAGCTTTTGCATCCGACAAATGCCGAGAATTGACTGCAAATAGTATATTGTTCTATTAGGAGTAGAAGCTTTACTTTTTTGCTGAAGCAGTAGGTTTGCGAGCCGAACGTAGTGAGGCTTGCAATACTGCTGAAGCACAAAAAAGTGCTTCCACTCCGTATGCAACACGCTATTTTTTCTCCAAACTAATGGGGTAAGCTCGGAGGCAAGTGAGAGCTTGAACGGCAGTAAAAGTACGAGCGGCGCCGGCACTAAAAGTACTTTTGCTGCCGCTGGGGTTGCCAAGTAGCATAGAAATTAAACTTCTACCACCTCGACAGGTGTTAACCCGCTGGATTTGCTTGGCAGCATAGAAATCAAAGACAAAAAAGTTACGTTACAGAAATTTAACCTTGATTTCATCGTTTGAACACCGTTTTCGGAGAAAAGCCCGTTTTTGTGGCTATTCTAAAAAACATTTAGTCTCATCACAAAAAGTATCACTTTTACTCCTAATAAAACAATAAGTATACTATTAATTGTTACATTTTTAGTTGTGTATTTCTAATTGAAATGTGCTTTTTAGATTGAGAGAAGGTGTGGTGTTTGTTAAGCATTTTCCTACAACAATTACTGGAAAACCAAATAGGCTCAAAGTAAAACAAATGGCCCTTGAACTGATGAAGCGTAATGTGAATATAAAATACGCATAATAAAATTTATCTTGAATTCTATTTTTTTATTCTCTTCATATTAACTTTTTTTTGTCAAGTCCTTTCTAAAACAGCTTCTAATGAACTGGTATGATATTTCAATGTATCCTGGTTGAGTTAAGATATGTACTTTTGTATACTATCCAAGGTGGCAACTGAAAGTGTGGGTACACCCTATTACTTTTTTGTTTTCAGAGAAAAGCAAATTAAACTCGGTAATTTGGTAATTTCGAATATGTAGTTATTTTTGTACCTAGTGCGGCAATGTCATATTTGTTAAGGCTGTGTTAAAGTAAATGACAAAATATGTCAGGCTCAAGCGGAAGATTTCGGTCGATAGAATTTTGATGTTATATTGTCACCAACGAAAATTTGCCCTTGGGTTAACATTACATAAGACGATATCTCAAAAATAGTAAACTTAGGTCTGGTACATAAGTGTACATACACAAAAAAGATTAGAATGTGTATATTTGGACTATAAAAAGTATACGTATGAAGCCATGGAAGTTATGGCAGTAATTCAACCTCAAAAGTAGATCTACCGAAAACTTTCGATCGAACCTGAACTGAAGTAAAATCTTTGTGGTAAGTGATACTCTTTGCTTCTAAAAAAAGTTGAAAATATCGTATTAGTTTGAGAACCCAAGAATTGATCTGCTTAGAATTCCGAATCAAAAAATGTAATAATCTACAGGGTGATCTACTTGAAATAAACAAGTTGAAAGCACGTACTTCCGGTCAAACCGGAAGTGTTAGTCAGTTGCTTTTATTCAGAAATTCTGAATCGTTTTTAATTATATACATCTCCATAATTTTAAATCGAAATCGATTTTCATGCGTAAGCTGGAGCTTGGAACACTTTATAGGATTTCAGTGTCCTTATTCTAAGGATAATATAAGTAGGTAACAAAGACGAAACAACCGTTCTCCTGGGAACGCTGCTCCCCTGTTTCAAGAATAGAGACCCAGGTCAAGTGTTTTAGGTCAAGTAAGTGAGTAAACGCTATTAGCACCGCTACAACTTAAGGGATATTTATTCTAAGTGGAGATTTGAATGTGACTCTCGTCGAAATAAAATTCACATTCAAAGCTAGACTTAGATCAAATATCCCTTAAGTTATAGCTGTGCAGATAGCCATAAGAGTATTAATTTTTATCACTTATATAAGTATAGGTTGGTACTTAAACCCACGCGCGAGAGAACTCTTGTGGGTCACTGCATTTATTATTATGTCATGTGGAGATGTTGCTAATGTACTACCTATTACCTATTTACAATAAATGCTATACGAAAAAAGGACCACAAGCTAGCAGAAATAGAGCATTGTTTTGAATATTGTTTTTTTATAGAGTAACACCATAACGCGAAAACACACAAACCCCATAGATTCGGTTCTTGAAACAGATAACCCTTATGCCGCTAGATTGGATTGGAACACGTCTTAGCGCCAATAGGGCAATCGATACAATTCATAACTGGAAAGTGTCAGATGAACCATCGTGTTTTGAGCACAGGCACCTCATGTTCGACAATAAAAGTGCCAACCCCACAGAGATACCGTTCAGAAATCCACAAAACACAAATTGGGAAGTACCTATACCTAAGATCCCTCGTAGTAGGTCTCCAAAGGATAACAGTTGAAGAGGTAGAGACGTAGGAAACGTTGAATCAACACAACTGAAGCGAAGCAATCACCACGGCTGGGCAACTAAGGGAAACCGTGAGCGTGAGAAAGCTATTTAATATGTTACAAATAAATCAAGTTATTTGAAATTTAAGACAAGAGAACCTATAGGGTCGTGGAATTTAAAAATAAAGATAACGTGTAGCCCCTTTATTTGCAAATTAAACCACTCGAAATCCAACAAACAATAATTTTATTTAGTATTGTTTACACTAAATAAAATTGGTTGTGTAAATTATGTAAATATTGCTTAGTGTAAACAATATAGCTTGGTTGTTCTGGTGAATCTGATACAGTATGTGGCTTTCCAATCCAGAGCTCTTCAATGAATGTTGGGGTTTTACTTCCGTGAACTAAAGCTTTCCGGGTTGTTTTCTATATCCAGGAAGGAGGATAGATTGCTGGTGTGACGTCACTCCAGCTGATCCAGGCTCCAAATAGTGATCTTTGTGTCGAATAGGTACCCAGAAAAGAATAAGGCAGCATCAGGTTCATCAACATTTGGAATATTAAATCCCTGAATTCTGTCAAAAAGTAAGTGTCTTGCAAAGAAGATTTAAATTGAAATTAGTTAGGTAGTAATAAAATTATTATTGAATTGCAGACACTGCCCTTCAACAGAATCAGGCATTCGGTAAACTATTGAAATATGGTAACTATTAACTCTACCAATGCAAAATAAACGTCTTATACTGTATTTTTTCCGAAGATAGATTTTGACACTGTCAACTTTGAACCATAAACAATGCCGCTTATTGGTCGCAACATGTCATTTACACCTTATTCTATGATTTACACGACATGCATTGTAAAACTGATTCCAACCTGCAGGGACACGGAATTTTGCGACCAATTAGGGCCAAGCATTATTGTTAATGTTTCAAAGTTTTCAATGTCAAAATCCATCTTGGGAAAAAATACACTTTAAGTGTTTTCAATTCATAAAATTTATAAATTATTTTTCGGATTTTGCCTGTGACATAGTTGATGTGATCTTTCCAATTAAAATGTTCATCAATGTATATTGCTAAATATTTAATACTTCGGTTCCTTTCAATAAACATATTACAATTGCATTGGCCAGTTAAATCATAGCCAGTATCATGAAGTTTAATACTTTAGAAATCTGGCAATGAACGCACCGAAAGAGAAAAAGTCACAAATTTAGTTTTTTCTACATTCAATGATAGCAAGCCATAGTCAAACCATTCTTTTATTTTCGACAACACAAGTTCAGCTTTTTTTCTGACTATCCCAATCATCTCCACTGACAACTACCCCTGCATCATCAGCAAAGCAAAAAACGTCCCCACTTTCACTGGCAACGGGTAATATCCCATTTATATAAACAACAGCAGTGTAGAGAGCACTGTTCCCTGTGGCACACCAAATTCTACCTTCCTCACTTTCCTCCCCTAGAACTTGGGTGCTTTGAAGCCTTTGCAGGTATGATCTAATCAGATCATTAGGGATCCTTCTTACTCCCATTTTTTTCCAGCCTTTCAAGTAAAATTTGATGTGCCACAGTATCAAATGCTTTCTGTAAATCGATAAATACCCCATAAACCTTTTACCCTGATCCAAAAGTTTCAATATTGTTTCTGTAAGTCCACATAATGCATTCTCTGTGCTTGAGCTCTCCCTGAAAGCAAATTGATTTTTGTGCAACAGCAACACATTATTTTTCTCAAGAAAAAATAACATTTTTTCCCTGAAGTATTTTTCAATGATCTTGCTGTTTTGGTAATTGCAAAACATCTATATGTAGCAAAAACATTTACAATTTGATTGCCTTCTGCATGTTTATCTTAATGAATTTTAGGTTACCTTCAGACAAAATTTCACTATTTATATGGTAGACTTGTTTGACATAGATTACACAGCCATCACATTTATTTAATGAACTTCCATTAGAAGCAATGTTAAAATTAGGAATATTAAAGTCACTTTGGTTGTAAATATAGTGGGTTTCTGACATCACTAAAACATCAAAATTTTTACCCAATGACTCTAAAAGAACCAAAAAATGGTCAACATTTTTATATATATATATATATATATATATATATATATATAAACAATGGGAGTTTCTTGGGGTATCGGTCGTCTTGAAGGGCTAGGAAATAAAAATCTCTTTTTCCACTAAGCCGAGCTTTCGGCAATTATTTATTGCCTTCGTCAGGGCTACAATAATATAAAAGATCTTATTATTATGAATAATCAAAACTATGACTAGGACATATAAATTTTTAACTATAACTTACTTGCAAAGTGAGAATTTTATAGTCGAAAAGCTTTCAAATTGTCGGAAAATTGTTGTTATTCTATTTTGACTATCAAACTGTACAGAATATAAATGTTAAAAATATGGAAAAATAATTAATAAACAATAATTGATAGATATAAGAAAAATAGAAGAGATAGAAGAATATGTAGAATAAAATTTTGAAGTGTATAAATACTAGTTTCTCATAGACATTGATTTTTGGTGTCATCACTAGACCAGTTAGGTAATTTTAGGAATAAATTTAATTAGATGTAAGTAGGTTCGAATAAATACTACTGAGATCTTGAATATCCTTTCTTTTATTTAGGCATAAAGGTTCTTGAGATATCTCTACCATTTCTAGAAACAAACGTTTATTTAAATTTTGTTCATGAATAATCACTTGTGAATTTCCAAAATCAAAATCGTGTCCTTCTTTAGTAGAATGTTCTGAAAGAGCACAAGAAAGAATAGTTCTTCTACAATCACTTTTATGTCGTGTTATCCTATCTTTTAATACAGTTGATGTTTGACCGATATAAACTTGATTACATTGTAAAAGTAAAATCATAAGAATCTCAATAGATGCTTCCACTTTTTATTGTGGAAAGGAAACTTAGAAACTTTTACCACCTGTTCGCGCCTAAATTTTGTTTAAAAATAGACGGGAACTCGCAAAAATATGACTTGACATTGTTGCGTCCGATATTCGGACGCAGTAATTCGAAGGAAGCAACAGTGTATGTGTTGAGGAAGTTTATGGACGCAGCAATGATAGGATTTTGTATATATATATATATATATATATATATATATATATATATATATATATATATATATATATATATATATATATATATATATATATATATATATATATATATATATATATATATATATATATATACTGCGAACATTTACATGAATAATAATAATATCCTGTTCGGCATTATTGTTGAAGTCCGTGAATTTTATATTCTGAAATGAACTTCAGACCTGTTTCACGAGCTCTGTTTACAAAAGATTATTTATATCTCGCTTAGATCACTCTCCATTCTAATATCTGTTGGATCATCCTGATCCTTTTTTATTTAGATATATAGTCCCGTTCATACAGAAGGCTGCTCGGTATCCCTTTTCTCGTCTAATATCCCTCACTTTCTCAAAAATATTTCGTTTGTTTATCGGTATGTCCTCAATCGAGTAGATTTTAT